CTGTGAAATCACTCGACGGGGATTTTAGGGCACTCATCCGGTCTTATCGAGATAGGCTAACATCAAAGGCGAATGAAGAGGGATTGGGTAAATGGGCTCGCCTTGCCCTCTGTGTAAGAGACTTAGAGGAGCAAATCTTGAATTATTGCCTCATGTAAATAATCTACTTGGCTTGTTTTTTGGGGAGGTGAGAGAGGAGCTCATGAGTCACTCGGGTTAGAGAACTCTCAAAGTACTTTGGAAGCTCTCATATTTCCCTTGATGGGAAACAACAGTGGGGGCTCCATCCTCAGGAATGTAAACAACACAATGTTCCCGACTTGTGTGATCTGCCTCAACAGTTTGAACGCGTTAATCCGGAGAGATCTGGAGGTATTAGTTGTCGAGGGGGGACTCTAGGACTCCGATACCCTCTGAATACAAATATTGTATTCAGCGGCTTAATTCTTCTAATTTGAATATGATTTCATTTAAGCTGAATAAATAAGTGCTGCTATTAGTCTCAAATTGGAAGGTATGAAATTGAAAAACTGTGGCTTTTAGTTAAGAGTGGCGTTTAACCAAAGTGCCACCGGCAACCTCTTGTAAAACATGTTATATAACACATGCTGACCATACATTAGTGGAATACATGGCATAGCTGGGATTGCTCTTACGCCGAGCGACACCAGTAGGTTTTAAAAGCCGAGGTTACTGGCTGAGGACATTTTGTTCAAAACAATTTCTTTTTTCTTTTTTTTCTCCCTCTGCTCCCTCCCATCACTGAGTGAGCTTAGACTGCAGTAGATAGAAAGGGATTTTCTCTCTCTAAATGGCCAAGGGGGCCGTTTACGGTGTCACTACTATGGGATCACATGATGTTTGAGGGTGTAAAGGTCTCGAGGCAGCTGCTCCTTTTCGGATGGGATTTTCGAGGCGTCCAAGAGCAGGGCCCCATGCTGTCTGCACTGAAAGGTGGAGCAAATACTTCTAGCAAGGGGGGGGGGGGAAGCACTGAAATCCTCAGAAGCTGTGTGTCTATTTGAAATGGGTTCTGGAGTCCCTCGGCTGCCTTCATGTTATAAACACCCACAGTGCTCAAATTCTTCTTTTGTCAAGGAGTCATAACAGGTGTCTCAGGAAGGATTTTTTTTTCCACCCGGTTAGCATATTTTCCACTTGCATGGAAAGTTTTTTTTTCTTTATTAGGAACATTCTGCCCTGGGTGGACCTCTCGCCTTGAGACATGATATGTAGACTTTCTTTGAAGCAGTTAAGGTTACTTTCACACCCGCTCAAAATTCGGCCATGCCTAGTTAAACCAGGTTGTGCTGAAGTATTGAACACCTCTGGCTGGCACATGTTGGTAAGCCATGACGCACTTTGCATACAGATCAGTGCTGTCTGTGGCAAGTATACACAGTAGACATGACATATTTTTATGATCAGGGCTACAATTTAAAACATACAACCGTTGACCAACCCCATAAAATGCACTGGATCTCTGTAGCGCAGAGCACCAGTGCCCCCCTTGGGATTACAACTAAGCATTTTATTATGAATTTAAAGCAGTAACGCACATATAATTCAATGTGACTGATTTAGAAAAAGGCCAAGGTGCATCTTCACCTTAGTTAGGCCAGTTGCCATAGCATGGCAGATATGTTTATATATCCAGCCCCCCCCCCCCAATCTCTAGGAGGCTAATGGCGCAAACAATGTGCAGAACGCAACATTATTCATGTTCTCAGCTTCCAAGATAAAGGGCTCTATCTCGCAGCGTAGCCTGGCTTTGCATCATGTTACGCCTGAGCATCGCAGCTATTGATGTTTGAAATGGCAGTATGATGGGGAAATACAAAAATGATAGAACTGCCTTCAGTATTACCCTGGGGTGTTCCTTTGGTTTATGTTTGAAAACACAGCAATTGTTTACTCCGTATTCCCCGATGTAATGTCTGCTTTCTCGACTCATTTCTGTTTAGTCTGTTACAGTCATTTCTAAACTTTGCTGTGCGGTTCAAAAACATCAAACCTTTAATCAGATGCGGTCTCTCGCTAAACGACTTATCTGGGTATCGGGTTTTTATACATGGGAAAATAATAAAACATAATTTTCTAATTGCTCTGAAAGCATCACCTATGAAATATGTGCAGTCGCCTATTTCTGCCAAGTTGAAGATGAATAGCTGCTTTTATTTTGTGCATCTCTTTGAGGAAGCAGTTCAAGTTCCTTAGAAATAACTTTTGCTCACTGCTCATCTTGTTATAATACTGTAAGGCTAAATACAACCATGTGTGAACAATGTTTCTCTCTTTTGCTTTTATCAAGCTGACATTTTAGACTCCCAACTGCAGCAACATTTGTGGTAAAGTATCCCATTTAACAAAATCCAGCTTTGATTTTTTTCTCCCCCCCTCTTTTCCCTGTAAGCAGTTTATATAAACAACTTGCACCTGGAATGTCACGGTTAAAGAATGGCGTAAATGTATCCCACTTTTAGTCTGTTGTGTTTCTGGGTTTACGTGCTCCAAAACACAACTTCTTTACTGCTCGAAAAGGGAAGAAAAATGTTGCGACTTAACTAAGGGATTGGAAAATATATCCTTACAGGATAAGCTGAGTAAGTTAACAAAAAGTCTAGCACAAATATTTGGAATACTGAGTCAAAAGTAACAAATGCAGTATTTAAAATGGCGATCTAAAAAGCGATCCTGTGAACTTTACTTGTGTTTTCTGTTTAAATGATCAAGATAATTCTGTTAGGAAGGGTTAGGAGTGTTACACAACCACAAGACACTTTACAGGACTCTCTGTTTGTAGGTCTTGCTTATAACAAGCATCAGTAGAGACTTTCCAGCAGCAGCCACATGATAGTGCTCACCTTCAAAACCCACAGGCAGCTGCTTGTTATGTGCACATGTAACTTTGTGTTTTGATTAACTTCCAAACTTTGGTTTTAGTTTGGAATTTGCCGCAAAGTGTGCACGTCCTGTTGTAAATTTCTCACCGACCAGCATTACTGCATTAGCGGACATTGGCATTGGTCCATTTTATTTTTGACACGTGTTTGTGAAAATTTAAATGACATTTGGGCTTTTTTAGCTAGAGGCAAGTATAAATAATTATTTTGATTGTTCTTATTCCATCTCATAAGTGCCCTCTAGGTAAATTGAGCATGCTCTCTGTAGATCAGACATAAATGTTTGAAATATATAGCTAAACTGACAGATAAACACTTGAAATATGTGTCTGAAAAAGATAAAAGCATCTTTTGTTTGGTACTATTTAATTAACAAAGTCAGAGAGCATCCAGTGTGAGATCATTTTAACTAAACACATTGAGTGCCCGAGTTCATCTGAAGTGCTCTTCTGATATATTGAGAGATTGCTAACCTGTTAAATTCAGAGAACAGGTACATAATGCAGTTAAAATGTTTAATTTAAAGGTAAAATAAAAAGCTAAAACCATTATTTTTTTCAGGAAGTGCCCATTGAGGTTGCGCATGTGAAGCATAAAGCTGTTAGATTAGTTTTATTCTGAAAAGACAAACTTTGAATATGCAGCACTTGCACAGTGCTGCTCCTTTAGTTATCCTAATGTTAACATTATCATCATAGCAACAGTCTGAGTGATAACTGGTTAGCCAATATTATAAGCAGATCCCAGCTTATTGCAGATTTATTGTTATGTATGTTGTCCAAAATCATTTTTAAATACAGAAAATGATGTATAAACAGATGCTTGGGCTGATGTAGAAATGGTGTCATCGTGTAGTTTAACCAGAAGAGTGCCTCCCACTTTACAGTACTGTCTGCACAATGTACCGCACGTACAGTTGTATACATGTCACAGCTATGCATTAAATATGTTGTCAAAAACTTCATGAATTATACTTCTCATGTGCTGCTCCTTTTTCATTATTTCTGTTGGCAAACTAATATACTTAATCACTTTATAGGGCTGATGGATGTGGTTTATACGCTAAGAACTGCTCATTTTAACCCGTTACCGTTTGGTTGCTGAGCATATGTATTTAAACTTTTATGGCTATAATGAGATGCTATTGTTATGAAATGAAAACAACTGGATGCTTTCATTAGGTGATGTAGGTGCAGAAATGCTAAAAACGGGTCATTTTAGGATGTTGCTGGGCCGTTTCTAGGCAACAGTGATAACATCATAAAATCTGATATAGATGAGAACCACCAGGGGGACAAGATGTACCTGTGTGCTACGTTTGGTTGCTCGACTCCTGATGGTTTTGCAGGAGTTTGCAAAAAAAGACACACACAGACAGACAGAGCTTTTATGTTTTATAGTAAGATAACATTTTTTTGTTATTCCTGGGGTTGGATGTCAGCCTGATGGTTTTAAGTGCTCCGACATGGAGCGGCATTAGCATTAAGCTGGAAGCACAGTTGTTTTCGCCATGAATGCAGGTCTAATAATCTTTCTCCTTTCAGCCTTCTTATGGTCTTCATCAGCCCCTCAAAGAAATGTTTGACGTTTTAGCTGCTAAATGCTCTATTATGTTCAACAGTTGGCTGCGAAATTAGTGTGGGGGACATTAGGGCTCGGAAAATATTTTTGCTCTGAAGCTGAGTACAGCTTTATAGCCACAGCGGCTGGAAATAAGGTTGGTGGGAGCAGTGCGGCTGAATCGAAACAGCAACTTTGCCAGCCTTTAAACCAGACAATGGGTAGAAAGAGGAAATGGGAAAATTCTGTAGGCTTTAGGGAAACCACAAGATTAGGTGACATTATCATGAGAAATTTAATGCTTGAGGCTGGCATGTTAAACGGGCTAAGTTGCATTTGACATACAAACTCCAGAAAGTTTTGATCCACTCTGCATTTGTACCCATCTCACCATATCCCTTGCATTCTCTGCATGTCTTCCTTCATTACCTCTATAAACCTTCTCTCTTCCCCCGCGCTTGGCATTGCCACAGTCAGTCTGTAATTGTTCTTAAACAGCGTCTTATGAAGCATTTCTTTTATTTTTGTTTGTTTCAGGTTTGAAGAAATTGTCAAGAGGAACAAAGTTGAGTACCATGCCGGTGGTTCTACCCAGAACTCGGTCAAAATTGCTCAGGTTAGTCTTCTCTGGCCACCTGCCATATGCCCGAATGTGTTTTGAATATACGGTGGTATGCTTGTAACCTTAGATTTGTCTGCCTGGCAACCCTGGGAATACTGAGCATAGCTGCACAGCACGATGACACATTACTGTTTTAGCTTTTTAGCTGTTTTGAATTCATCAACCTGCCACGAAAAGAGAAAGGCGGGAAGGATTAATAATATTTACAGTGTTATCTGGTTGGCCTAATTTCCTGAGACATATCAAACATCAATTAGAGAGAATTACAAGTAGACGCAATTAACATGTCACAACAAATTATACCAAACAAATGCTGATCCGCTCTCTGGCTGTTAAGACAGATTTGAGCATCTAAAAGAAATTGGTGATTGTCCAAATCTAAAATGGCAATCTGAACTTTTAGAAGATTATTCACTGAATGCTTTTTTTTTTTTTTTTTTCATGTGACTGCAGCAAGTCGCTGAATTTGACATCCAGTGATTAGCTGCTGATAAGGCTTTGGTCTGTTCACAATAAACAAAGAAAAAGCATCTAGCTGAAAAATAATTCTCTTCCAAGGAGGAGAAATGAGTGCAGAAGCTAATTGAGAGGCTGATGTCTGTGGAAGCGTGGAGTCTTTCTTCTGTGTGGGTTTTGTTTGTATGTGTCAGTACAGTGTGTAGACTTTGTATTTGTACACGTGTGCTTGTATATGTGCGCCTGTGTGTGTTTTTGTGTGTATTTAGCGCAAGATAGATACAGAGCAAGGGAAAAGAAAGCAGGCAGGCCCTCAGGCTGCCACCATCTCCATGCTTTGGAGACAGTAAACATCCTTTAAAAATGAGACGCCGAGCTGTGCACCTCCGTACAAACACTCTTTAATTATCAAGATCAGACACGTTTGCATAAACCTCAGTCACTCGCATTAACATTAACTGTCAAATTGATTTTATTCTTTGGGCAACAACTCCCTGCCTTTTAAATCTTGTTTGTTTGATGCAGTTAGATTTCATATAATTGGCGGACTCGCTTTCCTGCTTGAGTCGGTTAGATGTTGGAAAACAATCACTGCAAAATGCTGGAGCTTAATCTGTAGATTCACTTTCGGTTGCCACAGTGTAATTTGGGCTTCTAAAGGGTTTCTCGATTTAGAAACAACGACTTGAAGATAATGTCAACGGAGATGTGACTCAAAATCTGTGGAAGAATTCGGTGAAATCAAGGATGGTGGTCCTCTTAACCCTCCCCTCAAAGAGCCAATGACATGTGAACAAGTCGTGTTGCTGGTTTGAAACATGCGCAGATTTGGTTTTCAACCGTTTCAATTAGTTTTCAGGGTGGGTACATCTGGTTATTATTATAGTAAAATCATAGGTATGTGTGTTGTTGTTTTTTTGTTTGTTTGTTTTTTTTACCCCTCAGCTGAACAACAGTGAACTTGACCTCAAGGTCAGAGGTTGGAGGTCAAGGTTTCAGAATCTCTCCTGAATCCGATAACTCAAGAACAAGGCGACGTAAAATTTTGAAATTGATACCATAGGTGTATCTAAATGGAGGCTGAGGGCACTGGCAGTTGCCAGTATTTTTAAATTTTGGCTTACTTTATTCACAACATGAATTAACAAGTCTGTTTGTTTAATTTGTTTTGTGCTCTGGTGGATTAAGCCCAAAAAGTTGATCTGGATTGAGCCATTAATGAATGTACTGGGATTTAGTATAACCTGCGTGGGAAAGCAACTTATGCTTTGTGTAGCCTGAAATAACTGCCAAGATGGCTGACGACCAGCAGGCTTTGTTTCTAGGAGGATTTTGACGGTGTGAAGTGGGTGTTGGACCATTGGAGTTCCATTACTGGAGAAAATCTACAGGTATAAAATGAATCACATTCAGAGAGAGTACTACAGTCACACTATGGACAACAGTTGTTGGAGCCTGCAGCACGGTCCATGTGAGCTGAACTTGCAGTCTTGCTGCCTTTGAATAGGTCACTTTGAAGATAATGAACAGGTCTGCAAGACCACCCACAGTCAGTTGCCATCTTAAAAGCAACTTTAGTGCCTCAAAATGGTAATAAAAGGGAGTCAATCTGCTACCAGTTTGAGATTGAATGGTGTCAAGTTGGCAATTATGTACAAATTGGTTAAAAAAAACCCACAAATGTGGCTAACCAAAACTTCACATAAACTTACATTCAGGGTCCAGCAAGAACTTTAAAACGTTGAAATAGTTTCAGATTCATAGAAATTCCCCAGGTTTTTTTTTTTTATAACATGTTGGCATCTGTCTCTGTGAGTGAGAGTTAGACCAGGATTAAAGATAGGTTGGCCCCCATTGGGCGACCTGTGCAGTCGCTTTGAATGAAAAGTGGGCGTGCAGAGGTTGAGGGTGTTGTACACTAAATGTCTGGAGGACCAGTTGGTGGCTGAAAATACTTGGAATCAGCCTCCAGTAGCAAAAAATTCAATGCAACTATTTTAAATTCATTGTTCATTTTACTCTTTAGTCACATATACTCACATTAATTCTAATTAACTGGCCACAAGTGACATAAGCTAACATAATATTCACTGCTAACTTAGCACTGTTGTTCTAAATGTAGTAGTGTTGCAGGAATATGTGAAGCAGATAAGATGTATTTTAAAAGGTGACTGCAATCAAAACCATTAGTATATTTAATAAACTACATGCCCAGGAAATAGTATTGTTTGGCACGTTTGTGCTGTTGGCAAACAGATATACGTAATCATGCTGAAAAAGTAAATAATGTTTATAAGCTAAAAAATGCTAAGAAAATATGTCTTTTTAGCCTGTTCCTACATGGTTGTTTGGTCTATATAATGAGATGCTACTATGGTGAAATTAAAATGATAGCATCCTTTCATAAGCTGTTGTAGGCGGTTAAAGGCTAAAAACAGGTCATATCAGCCTGTTGCTACATGGTTGCCGGGCAACATGACAGTGTCATAATATATCATGCATAATTCATTTTTTGTGGATATAAGTTAGATGTTAATGTCATGAAATAAAAATGACATGGTGCTTTTTAAGGTGTTATGGGTAGATAGTTGAGAAAAATGGGTGATTTTAGCCCACTGCCATCGTTGCTAGGCAACATGACAACGTCATAATATCTTATATAAATAAAAACCTTCAAGGGCCTAAGATGTACTTGTGTGCCAAGTTTTGTTGATTAGCTATTGATGGTCTACGAGGAGTTTGCAGACAAAGAAACAAACACACAGACAGACAGAAATTTCATGTAATATAATAAGATTACAAACTTCTCTTAAGTTTAAATGTTGTTGTGCGATTGTAAGTGCACAAGAAAACAAAATGTCACTTTTAGACATTTTGTCGCATAAAGGTTGTCATAGATTTTTCGTGTTTTATGTAAGAAGACACTGAAGGAACTGCCCCAAGAAATAAATGCCCCTTTTGAATTTGAGATTTTTAGTGTGGGCCCAGACTGGAGAAAGAGCCGTCATGGCCTCTGTGCCCCGTGAGAAGCGTTTCGTCATCTAAATTGGCTTCGTAATGGCATGGCAGGTCCTAGTCAAATGGTATTCTACTCTGTTTATTTGGATATTTACCCCTTTCAGAGGGAAGATGTAGTGCTGATTCTGAACTGCTCAAGATAACAAGAGTGTTTTCGTCCCACACCCAGAAGTCTCAGAAACAGTCTCTGTCAATATATACCTTGAAGCGCTGACTTTTCCACATTTCACTTTCAGGTGATGGTGTTCTTTTATGAAAAATGTATAATGCATAACCAGCTCCCAGATTATCACATTGTAGCACCTGCAATATGTGAAACTTCAAACCCGGCTGTATTGTGGAAGCTGAACCTTCAAACACGAATGATATGCACTGCAGCACTGAATCCACATCAAAGGGGCCCAGTGACTAAATGAGATGCTCGATCCGGGGCAAGTTTGCTCAGGAGCATCACCGCCGCTGGAGGAGAGAGAGTAGTGTTCAGAGGCTTTGCACGGGAATTGCTACACACGCTGGGAAAACCCAGGGTGTGGGAAGATCAAGGCTTTCGCCAGCAGAACTCGTACTTCCCCCCAAAACCCAGACGCTTCATCGGAGGCTGTAATAGGTTAAATACTGCCGCTTCATCCAAGCTAAGGTTTCTGCACTATCAAGGAAAACCTAAACCTCGGCTTTAAGAAGATGCAGAATCAATGGTAATTGGATTTAGTCAAATGAGAATTGACCAAGCTGAAGCTTAGACGGATAAAGTATTATTTTCCTCTAACCACCATCTCCACCCTGCTCCTTGATTGAAATCATTCATTGCAGTGTTTGCTAGTCATCAGTAGCTTGTACTAAGTGCTGTCTTTGACACTACTTACTACCCACTATATTCATATTCAAATCATACAAGACCCAAAGTAGATATAGCAGTGCATTTGTGCTTCCCTAGCTGTGCACCAGTGCTCCCCAATAAGCCTTGGATCTTGTTTGGATCAAGCCAGCGAAGTTGCAAGCTTGTACGCAGCGCTCTTTGGCTCTGATTCTCCTGAAAAAATGCAATGATAGAAGTGGGTTGGAGGTTGTTGCCTTTGCCCAGGCTCTAACAAACACCATGCCCTGAAGGGGCATCCAACATAAAGGCTTACCTACTGGATGTTGCAGGGGTGTAAGGTAACAAAAACCAGCCCAGCGTTGCCTGCTTTACACACAGCCTCACACATCAAAGGCTTTCTGCTCAGATAGGGCACGGCAGGAAACAACAATCATATTTTTTTCAGTTATTCACTGAGTTGAAGGAGGGGGAACAAAAAACTGTGGCCTTTCTGTGCATGTGAGGCAGAATTTGGTGACGCCAAGCATGCATGGTGTTTATCACTGGTGACAGAATTGGTGGGGGGGACTCAGTTGACTGGAGGGCTGTATCAAGCAGCACAGTCAGTTCATTTAGACAGAACATCAAAGTCCTCCAACAGCTCTTTGGGGCCCAGAGATTGAAGTCTGAGCAGAGACAGGCTCGCGGGGAGTTATTGCTGCTG